GACAGGTGTGTGTGTGTGTATATATATGTGTATATATATATATTTTTTTTTGAGACTGAGTTTTGCTCATGTTGCCCAGGCTGGAATGCAATGGCCTGATCTCAGCTCACTGCAACTTCCAACTCCCGGGGTTTAAGTGATTCTCCTGCCTCAGGCTCCCGAGTAGCTGGGATTACAGGTGCACACCACCATACCGGGCTAATTTTTGTATTTTTAGTAGAGATGGGGTTTCACCATGTTGACCAGGCTGGTCTCGAACTCCTGACCTCAGGTGATCCACCTGCCTCAGCCTCCCAAATTCTGGGATTACAGGTGTGAGTCACCATGCCCGGCCGGTATAAATTTTGAACACAGAATACTTCTGTGGGATAGGGCGGGCCTAGGTAGTATGACAGGGTGGAGTCCCAGGATAAGCAAGAGGGCACAAGAATCTGCCAATAGGACAACACCCTAGGGAATCAAAAGATAAACTTTACCTCTTTCACAATTTTGCCCAGGCCAGCCTTCATCCAGAGAAAGCACTCTACTTGGCCCTATTCACAGAATTATTGATATTACTAGTAACACTACAGTAACTGCTGTGTCAAAGGGAGTTCATGCAGCAGTCACAGGTTAGTCCTAGCTAGCTAGGTATCCCACACAATATTGTTTGTACAGAAAAGTCAGTGTAAGTTCCAAACAGCCTGAAAATGAGTACAGTGGAAACCACTGATTTAGATGCAGCTGAACATTTTCTGAGCATCATCTTATTTAATAGCCACCACAATTCTAGGAGGTAAGTACTGTTCTTATTCCTGTTTCACAGATAAGTAGAGTAAAAAGTAACAAATTAAATGACTTGATTGAAACCATATAGCAAAAATAAATGGCATACACCAAAGAAAATATATAAATGGCCAACAAGCATATGAAAAGATGCTCAACATCACTAATCATTAGGGAAATACAAATCAAAATCAAAACCAAAACCAGGTACCGCCTTCAAGCCCATTAAGATGGCTACTATCAAAAAAAGAGAAAATCTAAAATGTTGACCAGCTGAGCACGGTAGCTCACACCTATAATCCCACCACTTTGGGAGGCTGAGGCGGGTGGATCACTTGAGGTCAGGAGTTTGAGACCAGCTTAGTCAACATGGTGAAAACCCTGTCTCCACTAAAAATAAAAAAAAATAAAAATAAAAATCCAGCTGTGGTGGCACACACATGTAATCCCAGCTACTCAGGAGGCTGAGGCAGGAGAATCACCTGAACCCAGAAGGTGGAGATTGCAGTGAGCTCATATTGCACCACTGCACTCCAGCCTGCCTGACAGAGCAAGACTCTGTCTCAAAAAAAAAAAAAAAGTGTTGATGAGGATGTGAAAGAATCAGAATCTTTATACACTGCTAGTAAAATTGTAAAATGGTATAACCATGACAGAAACCAGTATGCAGTTTCCTCAAAAAATTAAAAAGGAACTAGCATATGATTTTGCAATCCCACTTCTAGGTAGATATCCAAAATAATTGAAACTAGGGTCTCAAAGAGATATTTGCAAACCCATATCCATAGCAACACCATTCCAATAGCCAGAAGGCAGAAACAACACAAATGTTCATCAGTGGATGAATTAATAAACAAAATGTGGGCTATCCATACAATGGAATACTATTCAGCCTTAAAAGAAAAAGAAATCCTGTCACATGCCACAACATGGATGAACCTGGAGGATACTATGCTAAGTGAAACATGCCAGGCACAATAAGACAAATAGTATATGATTCCAATTATATGAGGATCTAGAATAGTCAAATTCATAGTGACAGAAAGCAGAACGGTGGTTCCCAAGGGTTAAGGGAGAGGTAAAAAGGAGCGGCTGTTTAATGGGTACAGAGATCAGATTAGAAAGATGAAAAAGTTCTGAAGATCTTTTTCACAGTAATGTGAGCATATTTAACTCTACTAAATTATACATGTAAAAATGGTTAAGATGGTAAATTTTATATTGTATCTTTTACCAGAATTAAAAACAAAAAATAGAATAACTGGCCAGGCAC